AGACCTGAAGGAGGTCCGCACGTGAGCTCTTGCAGTTGCCCAACTCCTGCAGCGAAGCCAAGGAAATTCGTAGTCTAGCCGCGGACTGGCGGTATCCGTTTTCGCCCCAAGGGAACCTGAAATCTTGAGCCAAAATGGCTACGGAGGAGGAGGAGGAGGAGCATTCATCCTCCAGGTTTTTTTACCTCTTCTACTTTTGCAGTCTCTGCGGCGTATGGGGAGGCTTCGCCACCACGGCTAAGTCGGCTTCGAAATCCTGGTCATAATGCTTTATTGGACAGCGAGTTCGAATGAGGTAGGGCCCCCTCTCACTCCCTGTCGCTCCCTCTCCCCTTCCCGCACCGATCCTCCGTCTCCCTTGTCCCTCCTTACACTTCTCCGAGACCCCTCCAAGTGGGGAACGGGAGAAGGGAGGAAGAGCAGGAGGAGAAGAAGGAGGAGGCTGGAGGGAGGCGCTTCTGCTGCTTTCTCGAGGTCTTGAATCGTTCATTGATGCGTTTGATTGTTCTGGATGTTCTGAGCAAGGAGGAAGAGGAGTTGAGGAGTTTGACTAAGTTCTCTGGCGAGCCGTCGAGCTTCTAGTGCTCCCCAGAGGGGGAGGCAGGTCTCGAGTAAGCTAAAAGTCCTCACCTCCTGACCCTCCCTCCTCCCGCCTTTCCTCCCGCCCCTCCTCCCTCCCCCTCCTCTTCCCTCCCCCCCCACCTCCCCGCACCGCACTTTCCTCCCCCCCCACCCACGTATTGGCGATGGCGACGGCGGCGACGCCCTCCTTGCCACAGCGACCGCCACCGCAGCCCAGGCGAACGAGTTCCTGCTGCTGCACGGCACGAAGCCAGAGGCGCTGCCCTCCCCCTCCTCCTCATCCTCCTCCTCCTTCTCCTCCTCCTCCTACTCCTCCTCTTCCGCCTCCTCCTCTTCCTCCTCCTCCTCCGCCTCCTCCTCCTCCTCCTTGTCATTCCTCTCCTCCTCCTCCTCCTCCTCCTCCTCCTCCGCCGCCTCTTTCTCCGCCTCCTCCCATTCCTCCTCCTCCCCCTCCTCCTCCTGCCTCCTGCCCCGCTGCCCGCAGCCTTTTTGGCTCAAGGTGCAAGCTGGGCTGATGCGTTCACGCAAGCCTGTACTCGCCCAGGCGTGAACCACGGGCGCCCCTCCTCCTCCTCCTCCTCCTCCTCCTCCTCCTCCTCTCCCCTTCCTCCTCCCTCCCTCCTCCTCCCTGCTCCTCCTCCTCCTTCCTCCTCCTCCTCCTCCTCCTCCTCCCCTTCCTCCTCCTCCTCCCTCCTCCTTTGCTCCTCCTCCTCCTCCCTATCCTCCTCTTCCTCTCCTCACTCTCCTCGAAGGACCAGGGTGCTCTGGCGCTTTGGGCCCTCACTGGACCTTTAGGGACTTCGGGGAGACTCTCACAAGGCTCCGGAGACAGCGGCGCGGCTCCGAGCGCTGGGCCGCAGCCCTGCGCCCGTGCCAGAGGCCGGCCGTGCCCAAGGCGGCCACGCCCTCCGCTGAAGTGCACCCCGCCGCTGCCCCGTTGGTGGCAGCTGTGTGCCGATGCGTCGCACCGCTTTGCGGCGTCGTCACGGCCATGCGGTCGCTCTGCGGCAGCCAGGGCGAGCCTCTGAAGAGCGAGGGGGGGGGATTCCCTGGATGCCCTCATCCTCCTGCTCCTTCTGGCCCCCTTGAGGCTTTGGGCTGGTTAGGGCGTGTTCGCAGGGGCGGTGCGGCGTCCGTCGTGAGTCACGGGCCGCACTAAACGGTTAGGAGACGCCAAGTGTCGCCCCCCCGAGTTCTCCTGTGCCCAATCCAGCTCGGCAGTTTTTATAGCAGGGGATACGCAGCAGCAGACGAACTCCTACGGGCCTGAACCCTGAACCTGAGCCTCCTCCTTCTCCTTCTTCTCCTCCTACTCCTGCAGTCAGCCCGCATAGCAAGGTTGCCCTTGCATGATTCCCCTTGAGCCCATCCTTGGCCGCTTTCGCTGGCCGCGCCCCGACCGCAAAGTATCGACATTGACTGCACTCCTATCCTCCACTCCTCCTGCTCCTCCTCTCCGCCGCTCGAGCCCGCAGGTTGCGCGCCCGAGGGGGGGGGGGCAGGAGGGGGTGCGCTGGGGGGAGGGGGGGGAAGCGGCGAGGGCGGGACGGGGTGGGCAGGGGAGGAGTGCGGGGCGGAGATGAGGGGGGAAGGGCCAATTGCCGCTCCTCTCGCCCTGATCATGGTGCCTCGCCTCTTTGCTGCCTGCCGCTTCGCCGCACGCCGCCTGCCGCTCTTTCCCGTGATGGCTTTTGCCCACAGTTGGAGGCCGGGGTCATACGCTTCTGGCGTGGCGTCGGGATCTCGCTGCCGCCGCAGACGCCCTCCTTCGGGCCCTTCCCGCCTCGCGTGTCTATAGCCGCACAGAGGAAGGAGTACAGTCGGTCAGGTCACGCCTGGCCCGCCGAGCTGCAGCGCCGTCGCTTGCTAGCCCGCCCGCCCATCAGCCAGGATTGCGTCGCGCGGGAGTAAGCCCGCAGCCGGCGGCACCGCAGCAGCAGCCCAGGCGACGCGGGCCCAGCACAGTCCCGGGGGGCGGAGCCGAAGGAAGGAAAGTGGCGACGTGCGGGGGCCAGGCAGGACACGGCCGGGGGCAGAGCCGAAGGAGATCAGCGACGGGTGCAAGGAGGGCCGGGGGGCGGGCGAGAGGGCAGCGCGGACCAGCTGTCGCCGCGCGAGACCCCTCGCAGAGGAGGCACGCGATCGCAGGGGAGGCAGGCGCTCCGCGCCGTGCTCTGCGGCGGCGACGGCGACGACATCAGGAGCAGGGCCGCAGGGGAGTAGGCCTTCTCGCGTACGGTCGGGGAGTCCTGGGATGCGTGTCGCTCCGCCAGTTCTGGCCCACCGCGCCTCGGTGCGACACGCTCTCATTCGCGGTCCCGAGGCGTCCACGTGCCGAGCCTTTGCGATCTTCCCATCCTGCGGAGCGGAGCGACACGTTGTCTACTCGCAAGGCATAGCGTGTCGCCGGGGCCGCCGGGACGAAACGCTAGCCACAACGTCCCGACCGTAATCCCCTCGATTTGCGGCGCCCACAAGGGGGTGGTGCGATGGGGGCGTCTCGGAGGCCCGCCCGGCTCCCAGGGAGCCTTCTTCTTGGCCTCCGGGGCCCTCTGAGGCTGTCCCTGCTGTTCACGAAGCTCCCCGCCTTCTGAGAAGCCTCCCCCCCTCGCGCCACCCGCTTGTGGCGCCGCCAGCTCTCAGAGGAGCAACAAGTCATGATAATGATCCGTTTCAAGATTTCGAGTTGTTCCAGGATTTCCACGGCTCCCTGGCGTGTTCTCGCAGAGGCTGCAGAAACGAAGGCCGTTGGGTTCTCCAGAGTTCCTGGAACGTGTCCTGAGCCAAGTGTGTCATGGCATCGCTTCGGGCACGTGCAGAGCGGGGAGGGGGGAGGGGGGAAGGCTGCTCAGAGGAAGGCTGCTGCCTATATGAGGCGTGGGCCTTGTCTGCAGATGTGGGGCCCGCGCCTTCTAAGAAGCATCCTCCTTCTAAGAAGCCCTCCCCCCTCCCCCCCCCATACAGGCGGACAGAGGTATCAGATCGAGGTCGGTTCGGGGAGGGTACCCTACTGTCCTTCGTGTATGTTGGATGTTCTTGTGCATCCTGGGGAGGGTGCCCTTGGATGTTCCGTGTGGTTTGGTCGGCGGAGGGTCTCGTGTTCTTGAGGGATGTTCTTCTAGTCCTGGTTCGGCTGTACCCCCCCTCTGCGCGCCGCCCACTGCTCTCGCCCCCAAACTCGTGGACCTCGACCCCCGATGCCAGAGCTCGTGGAGCGCGCGCGCGCCGCTCAGCCGTCAGCCTCTCGCTCGGGCAGGTGCGCACAACGGGGCACGTGGGAGGGGGGAAGGCTGCCTAGAAGGAGGCTGCTGCTTAGACGACGCCGGCCCCACATCTATAGCTAAGGCCCGCGCCTTCCGAAAGTCAGGGTGCCTCTAAGAAGCCTTCCCCCCTCCCCCTACTACTCCCCTTCTGCGCGTGGCTCACACTCGGGCAGGCGGCCGCATCGATCGCGGAGAACCACTTCGACATGGCCTTCGCGTGCAAGACGGGGATGTTCGGGGCCGGGCTCTACTTCGGGGAGTCCGCGCGCTGGGGGGGGGATGCTCTGGGCTTGGTGCGGGGAGGGCGGGGTTCGCTTTCTGGAGGCTCCCGGTCGTCCTGGGGCGCCCTCGTGGCCACGGCCGGATCCGCCTCGGAATCCTGGTCAGAATCCACCCCAGGAGAGGTCCAGGGATCGATTTGTGGCCCTTGATCAGGGGCAACGTGAAGGGGGGGATCAGCTCAGAGGGGGACGCAACGACCTCCAATCGCCCAGTTGTCACCGATAGGGGCTCGCTATCGGGGGCCTATCGCCGATCTACCCTGGATGTATCGCGGATTCCAGCTCGATGTTTCACGCTCTGAGCTGGTCCTTCCCTGACGTTCCCTTTCAGGGGTGAGGAGGAGGAAGAGGAGGGGAGGAGAAGGAGGGGGAGCAGAAGGAAAAGGAGGATGAGGAGGAGAATAAGAAATAACAAACTAAATAACATAAACAAGGGAGACTACAACATCGGCAGAGCGAAAAAGAGAGGCAGGATGACAGCATAATCGGGGCGAGAGAGGGTGGCAAGATAAAGAGCAGGAGATGTAGGGGGCGCAAATGGCACATGGGATGGGACGGCGGAGGAGGAGAAGGAGAAGGGGGAGCAGGAGACGGAGGAGGAGGAGGATGAGGATGAGGAAGCGGGGTAAGCATGAGCAGGAGCAGGCGGACGAGGAGAAGGATGATGGATGAGGGCGGAGGGAGAGAGACAGGCGAAATGAGGCAGAGGAAGATGGCGCAGGATGATGAACAGAAGGAAGAGGAGGAGGAGGAGGAGGAGGAGGAGGAGCAATTGGAGCATGATGATGACGAGGGCAAGGATAAATGCGTGGACGTGGAGGTGGAAGAGAAGCAGGTCAGAAGGGCAATGATGAGCACCAGGAGAAGGAGGAGATGAGCAGGGAGCAGGAGAATGAGGAGGAGGTGATGATTGTGACAGGCCAATCCAGTCCGCGCGGACCTCTTAAGGCATGCTTTTGCCGTCTGGGATGTTTCAGAGAGCTACTTGCATCCAATTTGCAGGGTCGGTTTCGGATTCGATCACGGCGTCGCGCATGTAATGAACAGAAAGTGTTGGTGGGCAGTTCCGCCGATCTTCACCACCTTCGGAATGCCAGAGTCCGCGTACTTTGGGGCAGCGTGCCGACTGCGGCCAGATACTGCGCCCCGGGCCCAGGAGTCCGGCGTCGGGTGCGGTGTTCGTGGACGTGGGCGGCCTGGCCTGATCACTCGAAGAAAAAAAACGCTATAAACTCAGATGTCCGACGCTCCGCGCGGTTTTCTCGGATCTGCGCTGCAGCGTCTTGGCGGCGCCTCTGGCGACGCCCCTGGTGCGCGGAGCGCGTGAGAGGGGGGAGTCCTTCGCAGATCCAAGAAATCCGCGCGGACCGTCGATAGTGTATGTTCATACAGTGTCTTCTTCTTCTTATCATGATTATTTGTATTATTACTAGTATTCGTTTTCTTTTCCGTATTCGCATTATTGTTCTTATGATTCGTATGTTTATGATTCGTATTATTTCATGTATTCGTATTATTGGTATGTTTATGTTTATTCCCTACCTCGGCTCTGCCTAGAGGGTTCTTACTCGCTGGGCTTAAAGGGGCCGGGCAGTGTTCCTCGCCCAGGGCGGTTCCCCCAGTATCCGCCCCGCGGTTCCCCCAGTTGCGCCCCCTTAGCTTAGCTTTGCTTATCTCATCTTAGTTTAGCCCAGCTTAGCTTAGCTTAGCTTAGCCGAGCCTAGCTTAGCTTAGCTTAGCTTAGCTGAACTTAGCCTAGCTTGGCCTAGCCTAGCCTAGCTTAGCTTAGCTTAGCTTAGCTTAACTCAGCTTAGCTTAGCGCAGCGCAGCGCAGTATTAGCACAGCATAGCATAGCATAGCATGGCATATCATATCATATTATATCATATCATCACATATCATAGCATAACATAGCGCAGCATAGTATACCGCAACATAACATAGCATAACAAATCATATCATAGCATAGCGCAGCATCGCACACCATAACATAACATAGCTTAGCTTAGCATAGCACCGCGCAGCATAGCACGGCGCAGCATAGCATATCATGACATATCATCGCATCGCATATCATAGCGCAGCATAGCATAGCACAGCACAGTGCAGCCTATCATAGCATAGCGTAGCGCCGTATAGCATAGCATAGCATAGCGCAGCATAGCATATCATAGCATAGCCTAGTGTTGCTTTCCTAGAGGCTCCAACTCCTAGGTACGGTCGCACTGGGCTAATTATGTGTTTTGGTCTTCGTAGTAGTCTGATGACTCTTCTTCTTCTGGACACCGCCCCTGGGGACCGTGCTTGCTCGTCGCGGGCCGTGCCTTGATGGCCCCCGGGGGGGTAGCCCGCGGAAGGCATCAAAACCAGCGTGGAGCGATCGGCCGCCTCAGACTCTGCCGCGCCGCCAGAGGCTGGGGCCTCGGGGAAGGCGGCCGTCGGCTCATCCTTTTCGGAGGAGGAGGGAGGAGGGAGGAGAGGGGAGGACGGAGGGGGGAGGACGGAGGAGGGAGGAGGAGGGAGGGAGGGCGGGCGGGAGGGCGGGCGGGCGGGAGGGAGGGAGGGAGGGAGGGAGGGAGGGAGGGAGGAGGGGAGGGGAGGGAGGGAGGGAGGAGGAGGGAGGAGGAGGAGGAGGAGGAGGGCGGCGAGCGGCGGGAGGAGAGTGCCCAGGTTGGGCGTGTTCCGTTTTTTTGATGAGGGCACTGGGGGTATGATTCCAAAGGAGGTTGCGGAGGAGCCACGGGCAAACGCAACCAGCCCCACGGACCATAGGCCCCCCAGGCGGTTCGGGACAGCCCTAAGCCGGCCCCAGGACGGGCCGAAAGAAGCACATGACAGCCCAAAGTGGCCCGACATGGCCTCACGGGGCTCCCAGAAGCGGCCGCCAAAGACTCCACAGACTGCCAAGGGAGGTCCACGACAGCCAAAGAAGGCCCTCAAGACGGCCCAAAACAGCCCCACGACGGGCCAAGAGGAAGGTTCCAGGAGGGCCTGCAGAGGCCCCCAGTCCTTAAGAATGCCAGAGAGGTGGGAGAAGGGAGTCGTGGAGGAGGGGGAGGCGGAGGACGGGGAGAAAGAGGAGGAGGAGGAGGAGGAGGCGGAGGAGGAGGAGGAGCAGCAGAAAGGAGCTGACGGGGAATGAGGAGGACTGGGAGGCGGGAGGATGGGAGAAGGGGAGGAGGGACCAAGAGCAGGGATGAGGATACGAAGGGAGGCAGGGAGGAGGAGCAGGAGGGCGAGGGGATGAGGAGGGGGGGAAGAGAGGGGGGGAGCGGATGAGGAGGAGGGGTTAGAAGGAGGAAGAAGGAGGAAGGACCAGGAATGAAGAGGAAGGGGAGGAGGAGGAGGACGACGACGAGGGTGGACAGTGGAG